CATCAGTAGGGTATATCATGTATTTTTGTGACGAAATCTCCCATCAATAAGGTATATCATGTATTTTTGTGACGAAATCTCCCATCAGTAGGGTATATCATGTATTTTTGGTGAAATCTGAAATCCCATCAGTAGGGTATATCATCTCCCATCAGTATTTTTGTGACGAAATCTCCCATCAGTAAGGTATATCAGTAAGGTATATCAAGTATTTTTTGTGACGAAATCTCCCATCAGTAGGGTATATCATGTATTTTTGTGACGAAATCTCCCATTAGTAGGGTATGTCATGTATTTTTGTGACGAAATCTCCCATCAGTAGGGTATATCAAGTATTTTTTGTGACGAAATCTCCCATCAGTAAGGTATATCATGTATTTTTGTGACGAAATCTCCCATCAGTAAGGTATATCATGTATTTTTGTGACGAAATCTCCCATCAGTAAGGTATATCATGTATTTTTGTGACGAAATCTCCCATCAGTAGGGTATATCATAGGGTATATCATGTATTTTTGTGACGAAATCTCCCATCAGTAGGGTATATCATGTATTTTTGTGACGAAATCTCCCATCAGTAGGGTATATCATGTATTTTTGTGACGAAATCTCCCATCAGTAGGGTATATCATGTATTTTTGTGACGAAATCTCCCATCAGTAAGGTATCTCCCATCAGTAAGGTATATCAAGTATTTTTGTGATGAAATCTCCCATCAGTAAGGTATATCATGTATTTTTGTGACGAAATCTCCCATCAGTAGGTATATCATGTATTTTTAGTGACGAAATCTCCCATCAGTAGGGTATATCATGTATTTTTGTGACGAAATCTCCCATCAGTAGGGTATATCATGTATTTTTGTGACGAAATCTCCCATCAGTAGGGTATATCATGTATTTTTGTGACGAAATGTATTTTTGTGACGAAATCTCCCATTAGTAGGGTATGTCATGTATTTTTGTGACGAAATCTCCCATCAGTAGGGTATATCATGTATTTTTGTGACGAAATCTCCCATCAGTAGGGTATATCAAGTATTTTTGTGATGAAATCTCCCATCAGTAGGGTATATCATGTATTTTTGTGACGAAATCTCCCATCAGTAAGGTATATCATGTATTTTTGTGACGAAATCTCCCATCAGTAGGGTATATCATGTATTTTTGTGACGAAATCTCCCATCAGTAAGGTATATCATGTATTTTTGTGACGAAATCTCCCATCAGTAAGGTATATCATGTATTTTTGTGACGACATCTCCCATCAGTAGGGTATATCATGTATTTTTGTGACGAAATCTCCCATCAGTAGGGTATATGATTTATTTTTGTGACGAAATCTCCCATCAGTAAGGTATATCATGTATTTTTGTGACGAAATCTCCCATCAGTAGGGTATATTTTTGTGACGAAATCTCCCATCAGTAAGGTATATCATGTATTTTTTGTGACGAAATCTCCCATCAGTAGGGTATATAATTTATTTTTGTGACGAAATCTCCCATCAATAAGGTATATCATGTATTTTTGTGACGAAATCTCCCATCAGTAGGGTATATCATGTATTTTTGTGACGAAATCTCCCATCAGTAGGGTATATCATGTATTTTTGTGACGAAATCTCCCATCAGTAGGGTATATCATGTATTTTTGTGTATATCATGTATTTTTGTGACGAAATCTCCCATCAGTAGGGTATATCATGTATTTTTATGACGAAATCTCCCATCAGTAAGGTATATCATGTATTTTTGTGACGAAATCTCCCATCAGTAGGGTATATCATGTATTTTTGTGACGAAATCTCCCATCAGTAGGGTATAATATCATGTATTTTTGTGACGAAATCTCCCATCAGTAGGGTATATCATGTATTTTTGTGACGAAATCTCCCATCAGTAGGGTATATGATGTATTTTTGTGACGAAATCTCCCATCAGTAGGGTATATCATGTATTTTTGTGACGAAATCTCCCATCAGTAGGGTATATCATGTATTTTTGTGACGAAATCTCCCATCAGTAGGGTATATCATTTATTTTTGTGACGAAATTCCCATTTAGTGACGAAATCTCCCATCAGTAAGGTATATCATGTATTTTTGTGACGAAATCTCCCATCAGTAAGGTATATCAAGTATTTTTGTGACGAAATCTCCCATCAGTAGGGTATATCATGTATTTTTGTGACGAAATCTCCCATCAGTAGGGTATATCATGTATTTTTGTGACGAAATCTCCCATCAGTAAGGTATATCATGTATTTTTGTGACGAAATCTCCCATCAGTAAGGTATATCATGTATTTTTAGTGACGAAATCTCCCATCAGTAGGTTATATCATGTATTTTTAGTGACGAAATCTCCCATCAGTAAGATATATCATGTATTTTTGTGACGAAATCTCCCATCAGTAGGGTATATCATGTATTTTTTGTGACGAAATCTCCCATCAGTAGGGTATATCATGTATTTTTAGTGACGAAATCTCCCATCAGTAGGGTATATCATGTATTTTTGTGACGAAATCTCCCATCAGTAGGGTATAATATCATGTATTTTTGTGACGAAATCTCCCATCAGTAGGGTATATCATGTATTTTTTGTGACGAAATCTCCCATCAGTAGGGTATATCATGTATTTTTGTGAAATCTCCCATCAGTAGGGTATATCATGTATTTTTGTGACGAAATCTCCCATCAGTAGGGTATATCATGTATTTTTGTGACGAAATCTCCCATCAGTAGGGTATATCATGTATTTTTGTGACGAAATCTCCCATCAGTAGGGTATATCATGTATTTTTGTGACGAAATCTCCCATCAGTAAGGTATGTATTTTTGTGACGAAATCTCCCATCAGTAAGGTATATCATGTATTTTTGTGACGAAATCTCCCATCAGTAAGGTATATCATGTATTTTTGTGACGAAATCTCCCATCAGTAAGGTATATCATGTATTTTTGTGACGAAATCTCCCATCAGTAAGGTATATCATGTATTTTTGTGACGAAATCTCCCATCAGTGACGAAATCTCCCATCAGTAGGGTATATCATGTATTTTTGTGACGAAATCTCCCATCAGTAGGGTATATCATGTATTTTTGTGACGAAATCTCCCATCAGTAGGGTATATCATGTATTTTTGTGACGAAATCTCCCATCAGTAGGGTATATCATGTATTTTTGTGACGAAATCTCCCATCAGTAAGGTATATCATGTATTTTTGTGACGAAATCTCCCATCAGTAAGGTATATCAATTATTTTTGTAACGAAATCTCCCATCAGTAGGGTATATCAAGTATTTTTGTGATGAAATCTCCCATCAGTAGGGTATATCATGTATTTTTGTGACGAAATCTCCCATCAGTAGGGTATATCATGTATTTTTGTGACGAAATCTCCCATCAGTAGGGTATATCATGTATTTTTGTGACGAAATCTCCCATCAGTAGGGTATATCATGTATTTTTGTGACGAAATCTCCCATCAGTAGGGTATATCATTTATTTTTGTGACGAAATCTCCCATCAGTAAGGTATATCATGTATTTTTGTGACGAAATCTCCCATCAGTAAGGTGGAAATCTCCCATCAGTAAGGTATATCATGTATTTTTGTGACGAAATCTCCCATCAGTAAGGTATATCATGTATTTTTGTGACGAAATCTCCCATCAGTAAGGTATATCATGTATTTTTGTGACGAAATCTCCCATCAGTAGGGTATATCATGTATTTTTGTAGTGTCGAAATCTCCCATCAGTAAGGTATATTGTATTTTTGTGACGAAATCTCCCATCAGTAAGGTATATCATGTATTTTTGTGACGAAATCTCCCATCAGTAGGGTATATCATGGTGACGAAATATCAGTAGGGTATATCATGTATTTTTGTGACGAAATCTCCCATCAGTAGGGTATATCATGTATTTTTGTGACGAAATCTCCCATCAGTAGGGTATATCATGTATTTTTGTGACGAAATCTCCCATCAGTAGGGTATATCATGTATTTTTTGTGACGAAATCTCCCATCAGTAGGGTATATCATGTATTTTTGTGACGAAATCTCCCATCAGTAGGGTATATCATGTATTTTTGTGACGAAATCTCCCATCAGTAAGGTATATCATGTATTTTTTGTGACGAAATCTCCCATCAGTAGGGTATATCATGTATTTTTTGTGACGAAATCTCCCATCAGTAGGGTATATCATGTATTTTTGTGACGAAATCTCCCATCAGTAAGGTATATCATGTATTTTTGTGACGAAATCTCCCATCAGTAGGGTTTAATATCAAGTATTTTTTGTGACGAAATCTCCCATCAGTAAGGTATATCATGTATTTTTTGTGACGAAATCTCCCATCAGTAAGGTATATCATGTATTTTTGTGACGAAATCTCCCATCAGTAGGGTATATCATGTATTTTTGTGACGAAATCTCCCATCAGTAAGGTATATCATGTATTTTTGTGACGAAATCTCCCATCAGTAAGGTATATCATGTATTTTTGTGACGAAATCTCCCATCAGTAAGGTATATCATGTATTTTTGTGACGAAATCTCCCATCAGTAGGGTATATCATGTATTTTTGTGACGAAATCTCCCATCAGTAGGGTATATCAAGTATTTTTGTGACGAAATCTCCCATCAGTAGGGTATATCATGTATTTTTAGTGACGAAATCTCCCATCAGTAAGGTATATCATGTATTTTTAGTGACGAAATCTCCCATCAGTAAGGTATATCATGACAGAGGTTTATTGTAAAATAAATAGGTTACACGGGAACAATCCACTCAGATGTTGTTAGGGGCAACCATATCCACTATATCACATGGTGCTACCAATCAAATTGTTATTTTCCAGAGGAAGCCATGATATATTCCCTCAGGAATAAAACAGAGGATCATGGGAGCGGAAGTGGTTATGAATCCCCTTGTAGATCAAGTACTTGTCTACCAGTCGGACATAGGACAGACATTCATACATTAGCTATTTCGACAATATTTAATCCCCTGGGATAAATACATAAATTTATAATAAATATTTATATACCCAAGTACAAATGATTGAAAATTGTACTCTGTTCTATTATGAATGAAAAGACGACAGGTCAAAATTTGTATACAATTAATTTACAGAGTCATTATATAACACAAAAAGAATCGAGGAACGCAAGCGGTTCCTCTAAATGATTTTGTCCACCCTTCCCAGAGGCGTGGCATGACGATTTATAATAAAGTTGATGAAAGTTACGTATTTTTGTAATAAAGGTATATACAAGAGAGAGAAACAAATTGGGTAATCTATATTTGGAAATGTCACCAAGAATCGGATCGCATTTTAAAGCATCTCAAGCCAACAGAAATCGGGAGGTTTCCAAGACGACTTTGTCCTTGATGTTATTCTTCATTCAAGTTGGTATCGCAGCAATAGTTGGTGTTACAAAACATTAAAGTCATCTTTGGTAGTTATCTCCACCTGTTCTGGGAGATAACCCGACACTAGCTGGCGCTTCCTTGTAAATGAGGCCCGGGAGCGAGTACGTATAACAGCTGTGCCCCTCGTTACCAGTGTTAGAAATGGAATGATAGCACTCTTTGGCTTGAGAAACTTCATATAATATCGGATGCCTTTTCCTTGCGAATTTGAAATAGGATAGATATGTCTATTTTTATGTTGTCTTTTCCATCCCTCCAGATGTAAATCTTCCGTAAATGAGCAGGTATGTACACTGTTCATTTTGCGAAGAAGGAGTCGTTCTTCTGACATCATGATGACGTCATCACCAAGACCGGAAGAGCCAGATCTGTTGGGATGAAAAGCCCGCCTCGTGTAGTGCTAGTATGTAGGAATAGTGATGGTACAGTTTTATGCGTCGTCTTCTCCACTACCCTTGATCATCGCTGTGAATTTTACATAGTCGAATTTTCCTCCTTCTACAGGGGCTTCCTTGAATGTCATCCTCATCTGGAACGTTGATAAAAATTTACGATAACTCCATTATAAAATCATTATTCAGACGTGTACTTAAACATGGCACGGTCTTCAGATGACACGCATCATCGATACAAATACAAAATGACAACTGATTTGACCAGGGATTGTACTCATTGACATACGAGAAGATTGTTTCTCTAATTAACAACCAAATCCATGTGATTTTTTCATCAGTGTTATTTCCAGGTTGTCGCAATGTTTTATTTCACCAAGAATTCATTTCTGGTAAGTATTTTGTTTGTTTACGTTTGTGTACATTCCCATTCAAATATTTATTCTCATTTCTTCGTAACTCGGTCGAATTTTGTCTACGTGTTACTCCGTCTTTATCTCTCTAACGGAATATTACTTCAATCTCCGATAAAAGTATCAAAATATAATTATATCACTTTATAAATAACTTACCTCGTCTTTGTTGAAGTTGTCTCCCATGTTTTCTAATAAATCCTTAATGCTGAAATACAAAACGATAGGCATTTGAAATCATATATCATTGAAACATAACTGAAAGTGGTCCGAACAAAATGAATAATAAAATATCACTGTCTGGCTGAATAAGGTTGTTTTTATAATAAAATATCACTGTCTGGCTGAATAAGGTTGTTTTTATAATGAAATATCACTATCTGGCTGAATAAGGTTATTTTTATAATGAAATATCACTATCTGGCTGAATAAGGTTGTTTTTATATTGAAATATCACTATCTGGCTGAATAAGGTTGTCTTTATAATGAAATATCACTATCTGGCAGAATAAGGTTGTCTTTATAACATAGCTATGATATTAATTTTCAGTAACATCAGTTTAAACAGAAGTAGAGGGGCACTCGCTGACTGTTTAAACTCAATGTCTACGAGGAAACGGGCAAAACAAGATACACATATACAACATAAAGTCTGTCTTTCGACTGGTATAAGATCAAACTAGGTAAATGATAACCATTGATATGTCAGACGCATTTCAATAAAAGGCCCTGGTACAACTTGAGAAAACTTCAATGGGGAAAACAGAAAGCAGGGCCGTGTCCATACAATCACTGGGGCAGCGATGAATCGAACCTTAACACTTTATCCTAATCTTAATCCAATTGAAGCTAAGAGTATACATTTAAACAGAGTATATCGATACGTACTACTCGATGTTGAGTTTCTTGGTTTCTGCTTCGTCAAACATGGCGAATGCGTTCCTGATGGTTTCTTCACTGTCGGTACCTATACAGGAAAATAAAACATGTCACTTTCATGTATACTGTCTATCATTTTGTCATTTAATTCAAAACAACAAAAAGTCTCATTTACGTCCTTCTTTTGCATTGTTAGTTATGTTACTGAAAATCTGATGATATAAGTTGATATGTATACAAATTAAAGGTTGGAACGCACGCTTGAATAACTTCAGAATGCACGTTTGAATAACTTCAGAATGCACGTTTGAATAACCTCAGAATGAATCCGTCATAACTGGAATGACACGTTTCTAGAACAAGTAATTGTAGCGAAATGTTTCATGTTTGAGTGAAAAACATCGATATATTGGAAGCATCTATCTAAGTATCTATACACTTTGTGATTACGATGTGGACACATATTGGTGACGTAACGTAAATATGCGATCACGTACCGCTGAGCTTGTCTGAGAAGATGGACAAGAACATGGTGAAGTTCAATGGACCGGGAGCTTCCTTCAACATAGCTGTCAATTCCTTGTCGTCGGGTGTCCTGCCTATATAATCCAGAAGTGGTCAGATATATCAAAGTTAGTAATTATAATATTCAAAGTCAGTGAAACCTTTACTATGTATGAACATGTACAATTTACTTGTTTTACAAAATTATACTAAAAATGTTTTCAGACACATGTAATTTCCTGAGCTGTTTAATGTTTAAACATACAAAATTGTAATTAAACAATTTCACCTGGCAAACAAACTAGCATTAAAGAGCTACAAGATTTTACAGGTGAATAGCGCCTTTCTCAAGTAATACAATTGTTGAATTTGTCAGTCAAAAGAAGCTTTAATTTTGAAGACGTGGAGCCAATTTAGGAAAATCAAACGTGAAAGAAAAAATGTCAAAATCTAGATGGGTAGGTGCACTATGCCCATAATTCACTTCAAGAGTAAAACTAGCATGTTACTGACCATTGTTTCGCGGAACAAATGTTCAGGTTTATTACATCGTGATCCAAATTTGAACTATCTAGGCAATAACATGTACATCGGAAAATTATTCTTGTCAGATTTTGTAAATTAAACAGGTTATTTATATATTTTGGCATATTCCTTAAATTTTCATTGAACTATTTACAAATAAATTGACCATGTTTCTGTCTTCTACAACCAAGGCACCGACCCATTAACAATTCGGGAGTTTAAAGTTCGGACACAGATTTCTGAGATATGAAGACCGATGTACATATTATAACGTTTCTACTCTTTCTAATCTACAAAGCATTAGTAAATTCTACACACTACATCTACGAGCTGCAGGAAAGTGTATACCTATGGAGACCATCCGATTTCCCTTCCACACGCTGGCGATAGATAAAAAAAACAATTCTCACCGATCAGATTCGTGTTGAATTTGTTATGTGTAACCCTATTCATAGAGATGAAATAGTTTCGGCTAGTTTGCGTCTTGAACACGGGTATGTGTTCGTAAGTGTCATGAAGCGGAAGTGACGTCATGGTGCTGAAGTGGCCTTTTGTTGGGGTGTGGTCTGACTTGTTTTGGGGGTGGGGTCAACTTACCGAGCTGTTCGGAGATAGCTTTGAGATCCTCTTTGCTGACGAAACCATCCCTGTCTACGTCAATCATGGAGAAGGCCTGTTCGACAGATACAACCACGAACATTTATAGACACACAAAGACACGTCCATTGAAAGGGCATTCGCCAGCTGATGACGTGATCCATCAAAGAAGATGTTAGGAGAAAGGAGGAGACGACATGGAAGTGGAAGTTGGATTCAAGGAAAAGAAATACCGGAGACAACACACGAGCTCAGAAAGGTGATCGGACAGGGTTAAAACAACACTTGATTAACTTTAGATAAGATTACTGTGATTGGTTTAAACAAAACAAGCTGATTGGTTAAAACCAGGAGAAGATTTCGAGTATTAACACATGACAAGAATGAGATTGGACAACAAAGGACAGGACTGATTAGTTTACACCACAAGAATGACGTTTTGACTGGATATTACACGCATTACAACACAAAGACATGTGACAGAAACAGACACTCAAGACCGGATGAGGGATGGTCTGTGTTGTAAGGTTGATTGGACAAGAGTTGGTCTGTGACACAGTTATAAAGTCGATTGGAAGAGATTTGGTGTATAAGATCAGTAGTGATGACATGGATCGAGGCGGTTTTTGGTAAAGTAGACAAAGGAGGGGGACTGGCAGGGTTCTGGTGTGTATCTGGGTAGAACAGGTAATATACACAAGTCTGTTTTTGATGAGGATATAGAAGACTGGTTTGTGATAGGATCGGTTTTAGTATTAAGATCGAGGATATTTAGGAAAGTTGAGATCAAAACATTACAATTTAAATAATTCTAAAATAATGTACTATTGAACACTTTCCTGCCTTGTTAGTCGTCTCCTACATAAGCCGACATATCGACTTTTAACTTACCCAGGGAGGAAAACATTTCTTTTAGATCGTTGATATCAATAAAGCCATCCCTGTTTTGGTCTATCATGGTAAACGCCTGTTACGGCAATATAAATCACAATTACAATATAGTAACATCTTTATAGAAATACATCATATTATGTTGTAATAACATAAATATATATATAACGTATTATATTATCGTTATTATCATTACTGAACGATAAAATATTTGATTAAAATGTAAACACTCAGTGTCAATGAAAAGCTGTCACAACTTCATATCTTCACTTCAATCCTGCTTAAAACAAGCGTTTCTGCTGACACACAGAACATCCAAAATGGCGTCGTTTTTCATCGACTATCATAAGACAAGGTCCTTAAAGGTAAATAATTTTTTGTTGTATTGGTGACAAATTGAATCACACAGAACGACCTGAATAACTTGGACCTTTTATAAAGGCAGATAGATTACAGTAAAATAAATGGCGGTTACACTTTGTGTGTACTCCATTTTAAATAAATTCTTGAAACTAATTTAAACTGCTTGCCTTAATCACTGATGTTAAATAATGATTGAAATGTGAAAATATGACATCGTGACTAAATCACTTTCATGGTAGATAGGGTGGAGCCAAATGCCCCAGATAACATGCGAATCAAAACGACATGCATCGGCAAATTTGTAAATGTCAGAAATAAAGAAAAGCTGTGGTTTTCAAGTCATAAAGACCATAATGCAGTTATGATACTGTATGAAGGTCGGGTTCTGTAAGGAAGATTAAATAGTGTCAATATGACAACGAGTTAAGTTACCGGATTATCTCGTGCAAACAAAGAACGTATCGTCTGAGTGACTTTCAGATCTGTTACAGCTAAACTATCCGTTTTACACCAAGTAATCGTTTATCTCGTCGTTACGACGAACCATTGCACCAATCAGGTAACTTTACATGATGTTTGCACGGGGTAATCCGGTTCACGTTTAATCCAAACACACATTTTGGGAAGTTTGTAGACTACAGGAGTTTTTTTATCATTTGTATATAGTACTATTAATTAAGTGTTACGACGGGACAGTCTCGCCACAATTCTCAACATATCAAAAACGAAATGAAATCCGGCAACGTAAAATCTAAAAATTTTCATGGAAAAATAAAAAAAAAAATTATAAAAAGAAATTATTTTTAAAAAGCATGAACGAAGCAAGTAAGAAATAAAGATGGAAATAATAAGAGAAGTGGTTCAGTCAGAAATCATATGGTTTGAACTGTAGGAAGCACTGCGATTAATTCAAAATTAAAAAAAAATAATAGTCACTTTTCACCAGTAAATCAATAACAAGCATTAACGTTCTTTCTATAGCAAATTAAGTAATAATTGATAACGCTATTCAAAAGCTTATTCATACAATTCATGTTATATATAAACGATGAAAACTTGTATACATACACAGTCGACAAAGTAAGTAATATAATATAAACGTATATCTAAATCGTGCGAATAAATGCACTTTTATAGGACAGTCCATGAAGTCTATAGCTGCGCAGCCGGGTAAGGATATACGTGAATTGGCGCATCACGTGACATGTTGAAAAAATTTAGACGCAAAAAACGCAGGAAAGAAAATAATTAATCTTGTAATTGAAGATAAATTTCAAAATGGAATCGTGATTGACCAATGACCTTAAGCTCGCACAATCCAAATGTCGCCTAAAAGTGGTGTTTAGGTTTCCAATATTAATTACAATCAGAAAAATTGGAAAAAAGTGTTGGTAATTCATTATAAATAATTAAATGAAAAAAAGATGTTTTAAGCTAAAAGGCAGTTTCATTGTATTACTCCTGAAAAAGGGACAGTTTCTTTGAAAAACTTCTCACGTCACTCCAAAGGCAGTAGGAAATCACTTATTATTACAGTCTTACCGGCCCGTCAACACATACAAGGTCATTAGGGCCAGGGAAACCAGTTGGAAAGAAATCTGATAGTTGTGGCTAAATAATTTGGCTCTTTTTAAATTTACAAAGATGCAAAGTGTGCTCCGACCAAATGGAGAAATACACTGAACAAATTCAGTGTGTATCAATTCACTACATCAGCCACAGATAACAGACTCCTTGTATAAATGTACCTCGAACGCATGCAGACAGAACGCACAGGGGAGATTACTCTTACTGAGTAAACGGTGATACGTGAGGCGCCCATTTTAGGGAAGTGAGGCGGGGCAATCTGTAAATAAAAAACTCCAAGGAAAAATAAATTAATAAAAAAAACATGCTCGGTCGGCGGACGAATCTCCATTGAAATAAAATCATTAGTTTGTTTCAGTTGGAAGGTTTGGAACGCGGCGCACGCACACATGCCAAAATCAGGTTGATGACGTGTTAATGAGACTGACGTCACTGAAGGGGAAAAAGGGAGATATATTTTTTTAAGATATCATTGCGAGTGCGGTTGCTCATACGCATGCGTACTCCACACCTCTTTCATCTCCTGAATTTGTTTCTGGGGCAACTTGGTTAAAACTCCGCTTGCTGCTTTCTGAAATACAAAAGTACAAACATTAGCTACATCTAGATACGAAACGAAGACTATGGAAGTTGCATACCTCTTTCATTTCCTGCATTAGCTTTTGTGGAAGCCTTGCGAACACATTCGACGTAGCCCTTTGTGCCCTTTCTTTCTGTCGTAATAAATAAATGAACAAAACAAGGAACAAGATTAGGGTGGGATTATTCAGGTTGGTAAGGAGGTTTGTTTTGGGGAAATATACCATAGTAGGTAACGAAATTCCACGTAGGGAAATGTATGTAGAAATATCTCTATAACTTTATATCATAGAAATGTATTGTACTATGGCTAGTTGTGATTTCTTTTATTAAAATAGGAAATAATCTATTTCCCGAGATTTCATTTATTATCTATGTATTTCGTTATTGTTTCGTTTCGTTTCTTTTATCTTTATTTTTTTTATATTTTAATGAATTCCAAATTACCATATAATTTATAAATAATTGCAAGATGTTTTTTTTTTTTTTTTTGTAGAATAATTTGACTTATTACGAAAGTAGAATAAGAATACTGCATAAAAAGGTACGGGATGATTATTCATTTCATTTTAGGTTCCTATGATAGGGACAAGCCATTCTGACTTACCGTTTCTATGTCACAGTATACATTAACACACAGTAAATAATATATTCACTATTTGCTTTCCAAATGTTGTAGCAGAATCCATTCCTAGTTTCCAAACAGAACTAAAGATTTATCAAGCTTAAAATCACGACTCAGAATCAAGAATTTAAATAAATAAATAAATAAATAAAAAATTATGCTCAGATTTTAAGTGTTTGATGTACAAAATTATTCCATTACACTCGTTGATCTTGATAAAATTGATCGATTTGAATCACAGAAAAAATATCAGTAGAAATCAAGAAAGTAAATATCAAAAGAACAAATGGATGTATCGCAGACATGTCTAAATCCGGGCACTGCACATCGTGTCACATGACCAATTAGCACCAGGTATATCCAGTTTCCTATAGAAAATGGCGGCCATCTGTCTGGTATCGGCATATAAGAATCCTCTATCTCAATTTATGTCAAAGACAGTTTTAATTCCACAGAACATGAATATTAGTATAAAATCCAAGTAGATAGATTAGATTTTCACGGCGATATGATGTATAAATCCCCGATAGAAAATAGTGCACTGCTGTAGGTATACACACACAAGACATGCGGGAAACGCTGGGAACTACTTACATCTGCCATTTTGTCTCTGGAAAAGATAAAAATAAAAAATGATAAAATAGTTCAGTAACTGGTGTTGATACATTTAACTAAACAAGATTAAACATAAGAAAATATGTAAACAGAATTATGAACGGATTAGAAAAGACTTTTATCATAAAATATACTACAGCATGTGAAAGAACAAATCAGTATTGGTACCATCAATCGGTTGCTTTCAACTCGTAACACTTGAAGATTCTAATCTGGTACGAGCACCGAAGTGTAACAGCATATATATCAAACACGAATGAGTAAGAGATGTTGAGGGAGAGGCTGATGGAGGAAATAACTAAAGACAAGAAGTAAGATGTGGTAATATATTGGAAGGGTGTGGTGGTGGGCGTGACAAATTTAAACACTAACGTTTAGCAAGGCTACGTCAATGAGAATTTCATGTCTACTCTTGTGATGGTATAATATTAACAAGGTATTGTTCAGTAGGTTAACATAATCTATGTATCCCTTTTAAGACAGGATTTGTATTATTGTAAGCATGGGAGAAATATACTCTTCGTAAATTCTCGTAGTGGATAAGATTAAAGTGGCATTACAGTTTCAATAATAAAGCGATTCAATAACTAGTGGTTGAATTCCTATTTGTGAATCAGATTAGAGATGTGAAGTGTCACCTAAACTATAACTCATGTAAAAGATCCACTAAGTTTCGAGCTGTGAAATAACAAGTTAATGTTGAGATATATTTTACAAGTGATCAAAGATTGTTACTTACTGTTAAGTGATGGTGACTAGACCTGAACCTCACTCCCTAGATCCTGAGCTAACACTGACAGAACGGCACGCTATGTGTAGGTGTGGAGGGCTGCTGATGCTGGGATTCTGTGGGGAGGGATCGGGTTACCTATAGCTATATATAACCATGGCAAGCTCCCCAATACACAGCCCCCTGTACAGGGAGGGGGACATGGGGGAGGGATGCGTACGCTATATACACAGCATAGATTGTGTTTCATATTTATCCCAGCGGGTGCTGTTCAGGAAACTGGACCTATTCCCTCCCAGCTGGTACTGGTCAGGGGACTGGACAGCCATATCAATTCCCATAAGTTGGAATTGCATAAGTAACGATAACAGGGATGATAGTGTGTCATGTTAAAGATGTGGCGGAAGGGGTTTAGTATATATCATATTTCACCTCATAAACCAATTTTCCCGAATTTTCATATTTATCATGTACTCCCCTTAAATGCACTTTAATTAAAGAAGTGCCGTTACACAAATGACACTGATCGTCAGTAGGATTTGACGCTCCATTCTTTATGATATACCACTACAAAATATGCATTTAAAACAAGCTTTTAGAAAATTGATATTGGAAAAACATGCATTTTTTGGTCAATTTTACCTTTAACTTAGTTTTGATAGGAGAGGATTTCTGCAAGAGACATCTGACACTGATTTCCGAAACTTAATATCGATCTTGTCAAATTTCATGTATTGCATAAAACTGATATCAAAATTATGTAAGGTGTTGTAAATATTTCATCATTTTTTATTTGTTTATAACACTCTTCATGATGTTTGTTGTTTTTGTATTTTACGTATATTTCGTACAAAGGTTCAAAATTAACTGCGTCTAAACTGTCATTATCTGTCCTGTTTTTTTCTTTCTTTCTCTTTTTCGAACTTTGACAACTTGAAAGTCTACATTCGACCAATACTATCAAAGTAAGTTTGTGAACTTTGAACTATGCCGTAATATTCCTATTGGACAAGCTTAGATTAATTGGGTGACTGATGATTGCTTCCTTGCTTAATTAATTGATTGTTTGGTATTACTACAAAGACTTTCACTGACTATGATTGGGTTGGAATTGACACTAGGAGGCGCCTAAGTCACCCACGCACGTGCTATCAATTTGCTCGGTGCTAAGCAACTACAATGCTTTCCCATATATGCTAGTGGGTGTAGCGTTGCTCCGATGGCCCTTCACCCACCGCTGTGTGCCTCAATATCAGCACGTATTGATGACACTCATGATCGTCGAACTAATTGCTTCATTATGATTATGTAAATATAATTATGTGTTCCATCGTAAGGAGATTAGGATTACACGCCTGTATCAGGCACTCAAGATTCTTCTTCGAAAATTTAGTTCCTGCTTGTGTCACAAAATCACGAGTTTAAATTATACAGTTAATAAAAATCGCAAAGATAATAAAAAAAAAAAAAAACAGCGAATTTTCCTTATTACTTGAATATTGACTATTAAGAGAGTAATGTGACTTAATTTGTATTGGTGCAATCAATGTTTATTATATGATGTACAACTTTACTATTTACAAAACTAATTGTCGAGAAAAACACCTTGATATAATCCAACTTTTCTAAAGATTTCGGTTTTTCAACTATGAAATTTTACATTAGAACAACGATTACTAATTATGCTGAAGAATGTGTTTTCTGTCAGGAATTCACTAGTAGACACCACAACCTAGGCCAGAATCCTACGCACGTGAAAATTATAGGTAAGGTAGGTAAGAAGTTTGGCTCACTATCAAATAACAGTTACCATGGTAGCTTGGCGGTACTCCCGGTAATAGAAGTACCAAGTTCTGGCACCATCTAGCTGCTGATGCAGTAGATTATAGTGACGTTACAGATGCTGAGGCTGGCTATTCTGTTATACAGGTACAACTGCACATGTTTTCCGCGAAGGAGGGGTGCACCTGGGGGTGAGGATATATATCCCGGGGATGGGGGTAAGGGGTTATGATTAAAAAAAAAAAACTATCTACCTTCCTCATATCTCTATATATTTCTCCACACTGACACTTTGACATTCGCTATTTGTATGAATGTAACATACTATTGTTAAAACATTACAATTAAACTGAGAATATGAGACAACAAAAACGTAAGATAAGTGAGTGGGGTTTCGTGGTTGTTTTTGGTTGAATTCTCACCCGTTTTGGGAGCAAGAGGATGGAAGGAGAGCCTGATCAGTATAGATTCTAGCTAGGCGGATCACGCTGGGTCGGGATCACGGATATTGGGAACCGAGCCAGTGTTTGACTCTTATCTAAGGAATTTTGTAAGAAACAGGAGTTTATGCCTTCGAGTAACCGCAAAATGATGAAATTCCAAACAGCCGTATCAGGTGGGGAAAGAGGCCCACGAAAGGGGAAGAAGTTTTATTTCTAATAAACCGAGCGATACTGTAATCAATACTACAAGGTCCAAACAACATCTTTTTGGTGTAAATAATAAATAAATCGTTTGCTAAAAACGTACACTCGATGTAGGCATGTAATTTATCAAACTTTTATTATCAAAAACAGAAAGCCGAAAAACTTTGGGTAAATTAGGAGTCTAGATAATATCTGTGAAAAATATCGAGGTACAAAGACAGGCAAAATTTATTACTAAATCCTAAGATTGAAATATTTGTTCAAAGTTATCGATAAGTTCAAAGGTCAAAGGGCAATATAGATATATCCTAAAACATTTTTTTCAAGGTTACGGAAAGGCATTGGAAAAGTTATTCAGTAGTTGGGAAAGAATGGGGAAAATAGGGAAAGAAATGACATTTATGAGTGAAGAGGGATCGATAAATGTAGATATTACTTACCCTGTTCAGTTGATATCCAACTACTTAAAGAATATAAGGCCGAACGACCTGCACAGCTGTTGACTCACGACCGGGCTTGAACACGAGCGATACGAAAGTGAAAATCACATTGGTCCCCAATTTATCATGCATGCCTCCCAGGCTGTGACGTCACAACTCTTGTACCATAGATGGGCCTGCTCCCCCTATCGGCGAGGAGTACGGTATCGCAGAACAAACTACTGAGCGAACTCCACAGGCCAAGCTGTGTCAGGTATTCGGTTTCAGCGCATGGTGAAATTTGACCGATGTCAGGCGCTGGTTGAGCCTGCTGTGCGCTTCATGGCACCTGCTGTTGGGCCCCATAGCGCCTGCTGAGACATTATGCACATAAGTGTTGCAACATTCAGTAAAAAGCTGATAGGAATTTTAATTTTTCATATGTAACTTTTCAAATTTTTTTTTTTTGTACTATATTGTGCGTTTTCTGGGACTTTATTTCTCTCCATACGTAAACACCATATGTAAATTCGCCGGATATGTCGGAAAGTGTTTACAAGCATTGTTTTGTCATTCTCGAGTGCATTCTTAAAAAAATAAGCCAAAAATTTACGTGGAAGTGTGTGTCTTTTTTTTAAACAAATAGTTTATTGGTTTGGCCTGAATTGAGAACCAATGGGTTGTTCGTTCATCGTGTATGTACCACGTGCGTTTCGCGTATGTTTCCTATACATATTACTGGGAAGCTGATGTGAGCAGTTGTCCATATACAGTAAAGGCTGCCGACAGTGGGGCGCTACACAGTGTGTTAAAGCACGGACAACGCCGGGGATAACAGCACACTATGGTATAATTAGAAAAGCGCGTGTTTGTACGCTCGTCTGCCGAGATTGCATTGTTTATGCACAGCTCCTTTGTGGTGTAACATTTGCCATGTAGATGATAATCGACATCTTGATACTTACGACATCAATTAATGACCTTTGACCCTTGAAGTATTACATATATTGATCTAGAAAAAGAGGGTACATCGACGTCACTTCAATAATGACAAAACATCTTCAACAACATAACAATACATTCTTGGTCTAGAGAAGGTTTGGAGTAAAATCTGTTGGAGGATATCACTTATTTAACATTACCTACACCATAGTGCCACCACAAACACTTGCAAAACCAGGTCCATATACACGGGAATCCTACATGTCGTCGTATCATTCATAAATAACAATAGCTCATAATAACTCCAACAAAATACCTAACAATCTATATAAAATACATATATCTAAGTACATACTTCTCACTAAATATCCCTAACCACATACCACTCACTAATACCTCTAACCATATACCACTCACTAAATACCCCTAACCACATACCACTCACTAAATACCCCTAACCATATACCACTCACTAAATACCCCTAACCACATACCACTCACTAATACCTCTAACCATATACCACTCACTAAATACCCCTAACCACATACCACTCACTAAATACCCCTAACCATATACCACTCACTAAATACTCCTAACCATATACCACTCACTAAATACCCCTAACTACATACCACTCACTAAATACCCCTAACCATATACCACTCACTAAATACCCCTAACTACATACCACTCACTAAATACCTCTAACCACATACCACTCACTAAATACCCCTAACCACATACCACTCACTAAATACCCCTAACCACATACCACTCACTAAATACCCCTAACCACATACCACTCACTAAATATCCCTAACCACATACCACTCACTAAATAGCCCTAACCACATACCACTCACTAAATAGCCCTAACCACATACCACTCACTAAATACCCCTAACCACATACCACTCACTAAATACCCCTAACCACATACCACTCACTAAATAATCCTAACCACATACCACTCACTAAATACCCCTAACTACATACCACTCACTAAATACCCCTAACTACATACCATTCACTAAATACCCCTAACCACATACCACTCGCTAAATAATCCTAACCACATACCACTCACTAAATACCTCTAACTACCTACCACTCACTAAATAGCCCTAACCACATACCACTCACTAAATACCTCTAACTACCTACCATTCACTAAATACCCCTAACCAAATACCACTCACTAAATACCCCTAACCACATACCACTCACTAAATACCCCTAACCACATACCACTCACTAAATACCCCTAACCACATACCACTCACTAAATAATCCTAACCACATACCACTCACTAAATACCCCTACCTACATACCACTCACTAAATACCTCTAACTACCTACCACTCACTAAATACCCCTAACTACATACCATTCACTAAATACCCCTAACCACATACCACTCACTAAGTATCCCTAACTACATACCATTCACTAAATACCCCTAACTACATACCATTCACTAAATACCCCTAACTACATACCATTCACTAAATACCCCTAACTACATATCATTCACTAAATACCCCTAACTACCTACCACTCACTAAATACCCCTAACCATATACCACTCACTAAATACCCCTAACCACATACCACTCACTAAATACCCCTAACTACATACCATTCACTAAATACCCCTAACCACATACCACTCACTAAATACCCCTAACCACATACCACTCACTAAATACCCCTAACCACATACCACTCACTAAATACCCCTAACCACATACCACTCACTAAATACCCCTAACCACATACCACTCACTAAATACCCCTAACCATATACCACTCACTAAATACCCCTAACTACATACCACTCACTAAATACCCCTAACTACATACCACTCACTAAATACCCCTAACTACATACCACTCACTAAATACCCCTAACCACATACCACTCACTAAATACCCCTAACCACATACCACTCACTAAATACCCCTAACCACATACCACTCACTAAGTATCCCTAACTACATACCATTCACTAAATACCCCTAACTACATACCATTCACTAAATACCCCTAACTACATACCATTCACTAAATACCCCTAACTACATATCATTCACTAAATACCCCTAACTACCTACCACTCACTAAATACCCCTAACTACATACCATTCACTAAATACCCCTAACCACATACCACTCACTAAATACCCCTTACCACATACCACTCACTAATACCCCTTTCCACATACCACTCACTAAATACCCCTAACCACATACCACTCACTTAATACCCCTAACCACATACCACTCACTAAATACCCCTAACTACATACCACTCACTAAATACCCCTAACCATATACCACTCACTAAATACCCCTAACCATATACCACTCACTAAATACCCCTAACTACATACCACTCACTAAATACCCCTAACCACATACCACTCACTAAATACCCATAACTACATACCACTCACTAAATACCCCTAACCACATACCACTCACTAAATACCCCTAACCACATACCACTCACTTAATACCTCTAACCACATACCATTCACTAAATAGCCCTAACCACATACCATTCACTAAATACCCCTAACCACATACCACTCACTACATACCCTATCTACATACGCCTTACGACATACCCTTATTACCTAATTGTATACCCCTTACCATTATCTACATACCCCTAACTACATACTCCTCCAATTTCTCTGCTTTGTATTACTGTAACTTATGATACCGCGTGTTTAACTGCTTTTACTTTTTACTTATTACTGAGATTTACTTTACCTTAGACACGTTTTTATGTGTTAGCTCCAAAGTCAAACATTAAAAACTATTAAGCTTTCTTAACACTCTTCATATCTTTATCTCATTCTTTTATATACACTGTAATTCGATTATCTATTTTGTAATTAATTTGTCTACTTCATGTTTTTTTTCATTTAATTTTTCTGAGTATCATATCTTTGAAGGTAGTACAAAACACACTAAGGTAGTACAAAACACACTTAGGTAGTAACAAAACACAATTAGTAGAACAAAACACACTTAGGTGGTACAAAACACATTTAGGTAGTACAAAACACATTTAGGTAGTAACAAAACACAATTAGTAGAACAAAATACACTTAGGTAGTACAAAACACATTTAGGTAGTACAAAACACATTTAGGTAGTAACAAAACACAATTAGTAGAACAAAATACACTTAGGTAGTACAAAACACACTTAGGTAGTAACAAAACACAATTAGTAGAACAAAACATACTTAGGTAGTACAAAACAGTACAAAACACACTTAGGTAGTACAAAACAGTACAAAACACACTAAGGTAGTACAAAACAGTACAAAACACACTTAGGTGGTACAAAACAGTACAAAACACACTTAGGTGGTACAAAACAGTACAAAACACACTTAGGTGGTACAAAACAGTACAAAACACACTAAGGTAGTACAAAACAGTACAAAACACACTTAGGTAGTACAAAACAGTACAAAACACACTTAGGTAGTAACAAAACACAATTAGTAGAACAAAACATACTTAGGTAGTACAAAACAGTACAAAACACACTTAGGTAGTACAAAACAGTACAAAACACACTAAGGTAGTACAAAACAGTACAAAACAGTACAAAACACACTTAGGTGGTACAAAACACATTTAGGTAGTACAAAACATACTTATGTAGTACAAAACAGTACAAAACACACTTAGGTAGTACAAAACAGTACAAAACACACTTAGGTAGTACAAAACACACTTAGGTAGTAACAAAACACAATAATTAGAACAAAACACACTTAGGTGGTACAAAATACATTTAGGTAGTACAAAACACATTTAGGTAGTAACAAAACACAATTAGTAGAACAAAATACACTTAGGTAGTACAAAACACACTTGGGTAGTAACAAAACACAATTAGTAGAACAAAACATACTTATGTAGTACAAAACAGTACAAAACACACTTAGGTAGTACAAAACATACTTAGGTAGTACAAAACAGTACAAAACACACTTAGGTGGTACAAAACACATTTAGGTAGTACAAAACATACTTAGGTAGTACAAAACAGTACAAAACACACTTAGGTAGTACAAAACAGTACAATCACACTTAGGTAGTACAGAACAGTACAAAACACACTTAGGTAGTACAAAACACACTT